AGATTACAAAACGGGAAAAGAAAAACGGTTTTATGCAAGTATGCATAAAAAGATACCATGAGCCCATCAAAGCGCCTTTATCAACCAAACCTGACATAAATGATTCTGGTGTGCCAATGCACGTTAGCTTGATTGATGGTCAGCCACAAGGGCACGGTATTGGGGACCCACCTCAGAGTTCTCAGAATTAGTGGAGTTGCTCTCATAATGGCCAACAAAACCATCAAGGTTGTTCATATAAATGAGGATTTAACACTAGTTCAAAATCGTAAGGTTATGAAAATGTTGTATAAATACTTAAAACTGTATGACATAGATAACTGATGAATCCATTAGTTCTTATTCACCTTCTTTGGCAGCACAGGAAATCATTGTTAAGGAAATCAATGATATGTTGGAACTTGGAGTGTTCTCAATCCCCTTATTCTTCTATTGTGTTGTAAACTAGATGGCATTGTCTGTCTATGCAATGATATCCGCAAGTTAAATAAAATCACTTGATGCAGAGTATATGCCCAATCCAGAAGATGTATTCGCTTGCCTAGCACAAAACAATTATTTGAGTAAACTTGATCCCACTAAAGGATTCAATTTCCTTTTACTGAAACAGCTAAAGAAGAAAATGTCTTTCAAACACGTTTAGATCATATGCAGCATAAAGTTAACAGACCTGCTGAATGTTCGAGAATGATGTGAATAATTCTGGACGGTTTGGAAGATCGGGTAGTAAACCTTGTAGACGATATTTTGATGTACAACCCCACCTGAGACGTTCATTTTCAATCAGTGGAGACAGTGCTCGAACGCCTGAAACATTGATTTTGATATAAATAATAAATGATGGAGGAGATGACTTTGCTATTAAATATTGGGAATTATTGCTATTAAGAATTGGTTTTGTTCATTTGTTCCCTTTGCCAGAGTAGCTCTAGTTAGGTGAACATACTTTTAAAATACCACACTGCTCCGTTGATTTGATTTCCTAATTTATTTATTGTATGTACGATTACTGTGCAGTTGAAGGTGTTGTGATAATGAACACTTTCCAACACGTGTTTCTGTTTGAAACACTTTACACAATGTGTTATGTGTAAAAACAACCGAGAAATGTTGCAATCAAAAACATATCATATAAAACAATTTAAGTGTTTTAAAACAATTTAAGTGTTCTTAGAGTGGGACAAGCCTATAAACACTTTAAATCGTTTACCCCAAAACATTAAAAATGTTTTATTTTCAAACAGTAGTGTTGTATGTAACTCATTTGCGATTTAAAGAAAAACACCTAATGTACTTAATACTTAATATTAAAGTGAGGACAAACTTGTGTCAAATCTAAAACACTTATATTTACAGTGTAGGTTTACTGGATCTTTCCAAAAAGGTGTTGCCTGTACGCTGATTACGGACATAATGATCGCCTTTGTGTCACGTCTATTATAGTCAGAATGGGGGTTTGCCTTACCTAAGATGCCAAGAATATCAGTGGCGGCGGGACCGGGGACGTGCATTTGTATACAAGTTTTGCAATCTTTGCCATTTTGTTTTTCAGAATATTTTTCTTATTAAACTTTAGGAACTTGCTCTTTTTGTATTAATATTGTTGGGCGCCAAACAGATTTGACCATGGGAGACATTTGTCAACTAGAAGATGGGACGATTGAAGGACGTTCTTTAACTTCAATAATTTATTTTGATTTCAATGAACTTTAGCAAGATTTAGTTTTTTGATTCGAAATTAAATTATAGACCCTCGTCACTTTTCTGGTCGGAATTACTTCCAAAGACAACAAGTAAAGAGTTTCACATGTGTCATCCCCGCCAGGTTTTCCAGCTGAATTAATTTCATTTAATGTAATATTTGCATTTATATTACTAACAATCCATTGTCATTTTTTTACTATTATAAATACGGTTAATAATAAACAATTTATCGAATTATTTCATAGTAGAAATCTTCATAATTATCAATATTTCTGGAGTATTCGAAGTATGAGGTCTATACAATGACAAGAAAATTTGAAATTGGGTCTTTAGCAGATTTTGCAAGATTATTTAGTTTATGAAGGTCGCGATTTTTAGTACGGTATTGGAGTTGAACTGTGTATTTTTTACACTGAGAAACTGTTTTATCGTGTAGTCATGTAACCTTGGTTTATATTTGGTATGTTTAGTGTGCACTGTATTTTGAAATAGATTCTTTAAACTTTCTCGATGTTCTCCGCGGCAATGTAATTTGTCTTTGCTAAGACAAATAATCTATATATAACGATCAGTTGCTTCTATGTTCCAGAAATCTCGTACAATGTCCCCCATTTACTACCTAAGTACATTAGTACTAGTGCCACGGTTATTCTTACCGTTAACATCAGGTTATCCTTTTCACTGTAAATATAATTTGTGATTAGATTCGGTTGTACTATCCATGTACATATCTGAAATTTCGTTTAAAATATTACATGACAAAAAGTAATTCACCACATTCCCCCATCCTTGGTTAGAAAAGTGAGGCTTAAAATGTACCACGATACTTAACGAATCTCTCGTTAACTTTCAAGTTAGTGTTCCTGCACAAATCAAGTAAATCTTTGTCATATTCATATTTGACTATATTATATTTTATTATTTCAATTAAGTGTAAATCCACATTCCTATTCAAACTATTTGTGGGAAGGAAGTCACTATAGTCGTGGTTATAAAAGTCAGGTCGGCTGCCAGTGCGTGCATGTTACTTGTAGATGAAGAGCAAACTCATGTGATATAATTGCTGAATGAAATAATATTGTATTTGTATTTGTAATGCCGAAGATTCTGCCGAAGATTTGGGCTGTGCTAACACAGCTGAAGAGGACGCCCAACTATGCAATGTTCCTCACTTTTCTCCTAAACCAGCTCGGACAAAATTCAATATTTTTCAGTTCAGATGTTGTCATTATTGTAAATGTCAAGACGGTGTCACTTTTGACTAGTTAAGGCAAAGATGTACTGGGAAAGAGGTCAATATAATGTCAAACAGTGTATGTACAGTGTATGTAGTGTGATTCACCTTTCTCTGTCATTCGTCCTTTTAAGTGAAGACAGTTCCGTGTCGCAGTCATACTTCAATACAACACATGATTTCAGATGCTAAAATATTCCTATCATCGCTATTGAATACGAAATGAAGTTCACTTCATCATATATGATTTACATTTACAGAATCAAGTGTTATAACACTGTATTAGAATTGAAATATTTTGAAGGAGTATATCGATTTGAAAAAGACAGGAGTGCTACATACAACTAGTTTCATTTGAATACATATTAAATGAGCAAATGGTAGTACCTAGTGACACTGTTACTTTTACCTTTATATACATTTCATACTGCGATCTGTATTATTCAGTTCAACAAATGATATGAACCAAGGATTATGTGTATTTCATTTATGCGATACTGTTTGTCGTGGTCTACTGAACTTGCCTTCTGATATTAAACCCACTTTCAAAGGGTGTTATACTGCCCCATCACAAAACGGCCTGTAATGCATGGCATTTTTTTTTCGATTCTGAAAACTTTCCACTTTGTGATGACCTGGAATCTCTCATTCATATTTTTTATTGAATGTCCGGCGATTGGCGCCCTCTGTCGCTTCATTTCACGCATTTCTACTGAATTGTTAAAACCTGGTTTCAAATACATGGTTCCGCTTTGGTGGTTCGTTATTTTGCCACCTCATCACTCAATTAGATTTCTCTCTCGTCAGTGTGAGAGTATTTTTCTTTTTATCTTTGTCACTGCAAAGTTGCTATCCATACCATATCGGCGGAATAAACAGGAGGGAAGTTCTTTTGTGGATCCGTTGTAAATTCTCAAAACCAGCAGAATTAAATCTGAGGCAGGAGGACAGGTTCGAATACACTTGACCAAAAAATGACACAAATCCATTTGTGAACTTCAAAGATCGTTTTTACACTTGTGTTATTCAACTTGTAATTTAGTTCAATCTTGTTGTTTTATGTCTGCTTCAATACATCTCATCCAATGCCGTTGTGTGTTTGTATGTTATTACAAAACACGTTACGTGTTTGTATATGGTTTTAAATGTGCCTTAGAATTTGGGTCGCAACCTCTTGCAGTGAGAACCAGTGTGATTGGCCTGTCGACGGGGTTCTAAGGGCTGTTTTTCTAAGTAAATGTTCAATAAACGTCAAACGTTTTTGTTTTTTTTGTTTTTATTTTACCCTTGAATCAAAAATCACTATACATTGTGGTAAAGCTTTACTGACAGCAATATAGTCATTTATTTTTTAAATTATCGTGACAAATTAGTATATCGAATGTTCTATCTCAACTTGGTTGAAAAAATTATATGTCTTGATAATAATTACGAAAACATTTTAGAGTGGTTATCGTGTTTATGTCACTGTCATTGTGTAATCGAATGCCAGTGTTCAGCAAGAGAGAAGTACATTTACACTACCAATGTGAAACCAATAAATCAGTCACATTTTATTATATTCTAAAAAGATTTATTGTCAAAAGCCATAAACATTCCAATTACCATCTAGCCCCGAGGGGAACCATAAGTATACTATTGTACAAATAATGTCATACAATGTGTTTCATAACACATTATACACTCTTACAGTACTGTGAAAGGTCAACATATTACGCCATCACGCTAATTCTATGGTATTGTTTCATTGTTACCACAAGTTTACATGTAATTCTCTTTCTGTGTTGAAACAGAAACTTTCAATATTATCCATATAAACTGCGACCGAAAAAAAACAACAGACGAAATATTGAAATCACACTGTCACGCGATGGCTGACATCTCTATACACAGGTTAACTTGTAGTAAATGCCTGGTTCCACATGTGACATGGTTTTGACCAATCACACTACAGTATTAGTATGTGACATGTGCAGAAGTTCTTAAAATGCAGATTTCATAAAATGCAATAAAATACAATAAAAGTGATAAATTATTCAGAATAAAATAAAAATACCGGCGATATTAAAAAAATTTACAGTGTGCATTGCATAGGCTTGCATGACGTATTTTGTACGCCAATACTGTTATTCCAACTTATACACACGTATTAAGCAACATTATCAATATCTTGATTATTATGAAAGATTCTGTATACTGACATAAAGTTTTAAACAACTGAATTTAGTGAAAATACTAAATCGGATATCAGTAGTTACGTTATCTTAATGTATGAAAAGATATTTTAGGGTGTTCCTTGACGTCTAAGGGAAATTCTAGTCTGCAGATCAGTAGTTACCTAACCATAATGTTTGGCCAAACATTAGTAACATGTTTTGAGGTGACGATGAAGCTCATAACTTGGTCACGGTTGGTGACTGTTTCAACCTTTCTTCAAATTGTTCCATTTTTTTCATAATTATTTTACACCTGAAATGAAATAGTTTATTGATCATACGCAAATATATATATCTTTCGGTGTGTCGATCGCGGGCTGTATTGTAATATTTCATCTAACGTGAATTTCAGAGTTCGATCATAATCAACAACATCATCATCCGATTAAATAAATAAATAAATAAATAAATAAATAAATAAATAAATAAATAAATAAATAAATAAATAAATAAATAAATAAATAAATAAATAAATAAATAAATAAATAAATAAATAAATAAATAACATCTATCATTTTATTGTATAGTAGTTAATACATTCGTCTACAATGCATGTATCATAGTTGCAATGGATTATCGATTTGACACGGTTCAATGTTTATACCCATAGAGACCTGTCAACTGACGGTGAATCCCCTGCTGTGTGCACGAAGTGCGAGAAGGGAGGACACTCCCCAGTCCCGGTGACGTGACAGCTAAAGATTATCTGAACTTTAGGCGGTGATACACAATTTAACTGATTGGTGGACATAATGGGCGTGTTCGTGCTCGCACCAGGGGATTTGCCATCACTCGACATGCCCCTGTGTCAATACCATTCATTGTAATGAGAACCAATTGCAAATAAGCTAAATAACTAAACAAAATCATGCGTATTCAAGAAATGGAAGGAGATAAGCTAAATAATCACGTGGTTACCTTTCTTCAATTCTATTCATTCTTGATTCGGCACTACTTCGTTGTTCATCTGCTTGTCGTCGTCTGTAATTATCTAATGATTCACGCTCAATTGCTTTCATTAACCTATCATATTCGCCAACTTCCGATGTCCCCGATGACGTCATGTTAATTTCAGATGTGGCTGAAAATAAAAGAAACAAATGTGTATAATAGTAAAATATTGTTAAAATAGTGATCGTGTTGCGGGAATCATTACAATGAATGTAAGTTACATTGTATAATTGAGAATTGTTTCAAATTATTATGCTTAGGGAATCTTTCTCTCTCCGCAGTTGTGCGTTTAGTTTTGGTCGTCTTCACCAAACAATGGTCCATTCCTAACACACGAATCACACGTGACCACATTTATGGAATTTACATTCATTTATAACAGTGAGCTTCAGCGAAAAAAAAAGAATAGGTAGGTGGGTAATATTGTTTAACGTGACAGAACTACGTACAGTAAATTAGTGACGAAAGCAACACAAATCTAAATTTACAGTTCCTGCCAAAACAATATTGATTGATTGATGCCCTCTGTGGTAGTATCAAGCATTTGTCTACAAATCTTCTCAAGCCTGGTATCTCAGTTCCACATTGGTGGTTTGTTATTCTTCCTCCTCATCATTCGAGTAAATTTCTCTCTCGTCAGTGTGAGAGCATCTTCTTGTATATTATATCAACTGCCAAAATAGCAATTCATATCTCTCGTCGGAATAAGCGAGAGAAAAACCTGCTTGTGAATCCATTTGAAATATTCAAGAATCGAATTGTTGCCCGGATAAAGTCGGAGTACCAGTATTTCAAAATGATAAA